TTAAGTGAGTGAAAATGGCAGAGGTGGTGAAGCAAGTAGAAGCAGCAATGGTAAATCAGACAGATGATGTTATTGATGGAGGTGGTGTTGAGGAGAGAGAAAATGTAACTTGATAGACTTGTCAATCCATAAAAACCACCTTACGGGTGACCTCCTTAACGCGGTTGCCATGAAAATGAACTCATTACAAACACTGTCTGCAGGTTTAAATTCCTTTCAAGGAACCATTCCGGAAAACATTGGAGCATCATTCCAAAATTTGTCATACTTTTCTATAGGAGAAAATAATTTTTCAGGTATTATCCCTTCTTCCTTTTACAATCTTTCTCATCTTCAAGTGGTTGATTTAAGCTTTATTGGACTTTCTATGCTTGTCTTTTAGAGGGTTTGTGCCTCCCATCTCATTATATCCCTTTGAAACACTTTTCAAAATGAAGATGTGTTGGCATTTTACTCAAACATTTTGAATAAAACCAACCTTAGACATGTGACATGGATTTATAAAACTTGCCTTTTAGAACCATCTTAGCAAAATTGGAATATAGTTTTATGGATTATCTTTTAACCTTTTGAGAACATTTCTCAACTTTATTTTCAATCGGGGAGATTAGCAACAAAATTATATATAATAATAAAATTAGAACGACATGTTACTTATAAGTAAATGCAAAATTCAATTATGTTTAATAAAATTTAAAGTACCATAAGCGAATTAAATATTGGTAACTTTAAAGCATTTATTCAATTTTAATTTGATCCCTATTGAACAAAATGATTCCAAGATCCTTTATTTGTGTAATAATTAACCGGACTTTAGCCCTACCATCAACCATTACATTTTCAAGGTGAGTAAACTCTTTACTGATTACAACTCTTTGTAACTCTTGGTTGAATAATTAATCATCACATGTTTAATTATTACCCTTAGTTTCAAGGTTCTAAACTCTTTAGGTAACCTTGTTGAGTATAACCAATCAAAATTGTAAAATTTGTTTTACCCCCACTCCCCTAAGATATAATATGACACCCAGCTTTAGCATGACCCATCATTAATATCGAAGGTTTCATCGGGTTTTTGATTGGAAAAGCTACCTCAATATTACTGGGACCTAGATTCATTATGTTGTGATTAATAGTGAACTCTAGCGTATCATCACAAAACATCAATAAAATCTAACATGCATAATAAACTGAATGCATAAACAAGACATAGCATGGCCCCCTAATCCTAAGAAAACCAATAAAGTAAATGCTCCCACTTGAATCATCACGGATCTCATCCACCTTGCTCCTTTGGGCCTTCACTTCATGGGTTTCTTGGATTAACTGCAACCTGTAATTTTACTCTATTCTATCTACTACTAAATAAAATGAAATAAAATTACCAAAATACTTCATCGGTAGTAGACCGTACTTAGATTACAAAAATACATCACGATGCGCATATCGTATTTAGCAATCTACTCGGCCATACTAGTCATTATATAGCAGTAAATAATATCATATATTATAAAGTGCCACATAATAAATCACTCATCATGCTTTCCTAAACTACAACATCGAATGATCATAATTAAGGAAACATGGCATCTAAATATCTCATATTTTAATTAATGCAATTAGATAATATCATATATTATTCATGACCATCAATAAAATATTATATATTTTAAATTAGTCATGAGATAGAATCAAATCTTATTTTAATCTTAAAAAATAAATCATATTTATCCTTAAAGATTATCCTAACAATGTTAGGAAATTCTATCCTAATTACTAGCCAATCACAAAATTTTAAATCAATTATATCCAAAAATAATTATGGGATAATCACATTATTTAAAACAATCTTTATCTTTTTGGAATATGCTCAGAATATTCTAACAAATCCTATCTAAAATTAACAACTTTAATTAAGGATAATTATCAAAAACAACTTTTGAAATTTAATATTATCTCAAAATAAAATAAGATTTTACCTTGAAAATATATTTAAAACAAAATAATTTTAATAAAAACTTTTTTTTTTAATATTGCTGCTACCACGTCAGCCAGGGAGTAATCCCCAACCAACGAAGCAGCTGCTTCTCGCAAACCCGCAACCGCAGCCAGGAGCAAACCCCAGCCACGGCACTGCCGCATTCCCAACCATAGCCAGGAATACACCACGGCGCAACCAGCAACTTGACTGGAACTGTTCCAACAGGACGCCGGCGCTACAACCTGAGGATTGTCCGCGCGTCGCAGCTAGGCCGGAGCCCAGCCACCTACGCCTGTTGGCTGCAGCTAGTGGCAGTGCAACTGTTGCACTTCCTGCTGCCGCTTGTAGCTGTGACTCGCCGTCACCACATGTCCTCCAGCCTGGGCCTCCTTCCCTTCTCTTCGACCACCTGGGCAGCCGCCGTGGGCACCTGACGGTGGTTCGACCACCCAGCCACGGCTGCCCTCTCCCAACAACAAAACTTTTCCTTTTTTTTGTTTTTGAGAGTTTAATTTAATTAAACAAATTTTGCAAAATTAAATTAAATTAGGTCTATTGAATTAAAACATAACATTTATGCCTTATTCAATTTTGAAATCAAATTCACAATTCAATTTCAAATCTAGGGTTCTTCACAAAATTAATTCAATTTTAATCTAACTCTTAAATTAAAATATTGATTATACAAAAATCATATTTTATGTATCAAATCAATCTAATTAAAATTATGAAGCATAAATATTCGAAAATCATCAAAATTAAGCACAAAAATCAAAATTTAGGGCTTTATTTCAATTAAAAAATTTCGAAAAAACTAGGGCTAAATTCAGATTTTGCTAGAACAATTGAGCAATTAAATCATATTTAATCATATCCCAAAAATTAAATCTCCATTTAATATAAAGATTGAACCATAATTAATTATTCTCCCTCCTAATTGAATTAAAATTGTGGACTATCAAAGAATTATAGTCAATATGCGTAAATGCAATAGGCTAACTGATACCACTGTAGGGAATTATAGGTACTACGCAGCCGAAAAACATGAATCATATTCATATAGTACCTAATCCCAAGATCTAATGCATAACACATAAAGAACATATAATCGTACCTTTGAAGCGTGATTCCACGTGCGATCGAGCAAGAACAATGGGAAATAAAGAACCTCAAGCGTGATTCCTCTACTTGGTCCACGGACACAGATTAAGACCTCCACTAATGCTAGTTAGTTGCAATTATTGAACCCTTCAATTGACCTTTTATGGAGCAGTGCGAGCAACGAACCACCATGAACCACCACGAACCACCACACGCGCCACCAAGGTGGCCGGCCGTACGGACGAGGGGAGGAGAGAGAAAGCCGTGAGTTAGAGAGAGGAATTAGGGTCTTTGGGATTGGTTGCCTTGATGTCAAAATACACTGTGTGTGAATTATGACTGCTTGCAAGCAACCCTAGGCATGGATCTTATTTATAGATCTCAACTCTAAATCAGAGCCCATGTCAAAAGCCCAAAACCTAATTCTCATCTAATATGCTAGCCCAATCCATTTCATGATTAGTTAGTTTCTCATGAGGCCCATTAATAGGTCTCTTACTTGCTTAACCCAATACCCTTGTTGTGTGACCTCATAGGATCCATTCTAGTAGGTTTTGGACTATTTGACTAGCCCAAAGATCATTGATCATAGTCTAGCAACAGATAATGACGACACAATAGTAATCCTTGATATATCTAGTAATTGCACTTATCGAAGACACAATTCCTTCAGTTATTTGTGCATTGTTAATTATTAATTACTTCGTTCTATCCCGGAATATTAATTTTTGGTGAACCTTTGACCCTAGGCTTCCTTATTATTGTTTCTTTTCTCCATAAACTTATTCTTCGTAATATAGAATTTATTCCTTAAAATATTGGTTACTTAGATAATTTAGACTATAATAATTAATTAGGAGTGAAAAGATCTGTTTTCCTGTGGAGTTCGACCCTACTTCCCTATCTACTTTAGTTAGAAAACTTAGGTATTTACTTTTGATTAGGGGATACGAATTTACCCTGTCAATGACTTCCAAAAATCCCAACGATAGGATGTTCGAAGGACTCCGTTCCTATTTGTAAGTGGAAAGGTGTCACTTGTGGCACCAAGCATCCACATCCACATCGAGTCGTTGGTTTAGATCTATCTTCTAAAGATTTGGCGGGAACTTTATCACCTTATGTTGGTAACTTAAGTTTCCTACATCGTATAAATTTAAACAACAATTCCTTTGGAGGTGACATACCACCTCATATAGGTCAATTGTTTAGGTTGAGAACCTGGGATTATATAATAACACCTTCGAAGGCCAAATACCAGCCAACATATCTCGTTGTTCGAACCTCAAGATACTTATTCTAGGAAATAACCGTCTTAGTGGAACAATTCCATCTCAACTCGGCCTTCTGTCTAACTTGATAGACTTGTCAATCCATAAAAACCACCTTACGGGTGACCTCCTTAACGCGGTTGCCATGAAAATGAACTCATTACAAACACTGTCTGCAGGTTTAAATTCCTTTCAAGGAACCGTTCCGGAAAACGTTGGAGCATCATTCCAAAATTTGTCATACTTTTCTATAGGAGAAAATAATTTTTCAGGTATTATCCCTTCTTCCTTTTACAATCTTTCTCATCTTCAAGTGGTTGATTTAAGCTTCAATCAAATCCAAGGAACTCTTCCCTTTGATATCGGGTTTCGACTTCCTCACCTTACAACACTCCACTTAGGTAATAACTCCTTCCATGGAAACCTCCCTGCCTCTCTCTCGAACCTTACTCGGCTTGTGAATCTTAATTTATATTATAATAACTTCTCTGGCAAAATTTGTGTTTGATGCAAAAAATATGCCTGATTTGAAAGTTTTAGAAATCTCCAATAATCTTTTAGGAACTGGAGAAACTGGTGATTTGAGCTTTTTACAAAGTCTTTTGAATTGTAGTCAATTAATAACGTTAGGATTAAAATCAAATAATATGGGTGGAATCTTACCCGATTATCTTGGTAACTTGTCCACTACATTAGTAGAATTAGATTTGGGAACAAACCAAATTTATGGGAGTATTCCACTAGGATTGTTTAATCTCGTTGGCTTAAGACGAATAAACTTACAAGGAAACCTACTGACCGGACATCTTTCACCTCAAATCGGAAAGCTAGCAAAACTAGAAATATTTTCATGTATAGGCAATCGTCTCATAGGAAGTATTCCTGACTCGATTGGAAATTTGTCGCGGTTGAGTTCATTGTGGTTGGGTGAAAACAACTTCAATGGGATGATACCGTCGAGTCTTGGGCAGTGTACAAATTTATTAGACTTGTATCTAAGCCAAAACAACCTCACCGGACTAGTACCTCCTCAATTATTTCTTTCTTCTTCGACCTTGATTTATTTTTACTTGGATAGCAATCAATTGCAAGGTGAACTCCCCGAAGAAATCGGTCAGATAAAAAATTTAATTCAATTTGTCATACACAAAAATGCATTCTCTGGGGAGCTTCCTAGTAGCCTTGGAAGCTGCACCGCCATTGATGTTATAGATGTGGGAGCTAACTTCTTCACTGGATCCATCCCTGACTCGTTCAAGTCATTAACTAGTTTGAGTTATTTAAATGTAGTGCATAACAATCTTTCTGGTCAGATTCCAAATTTCTTGTCCAAGTTTCCGTTGATGACAATAGATTTGTCTTTCAATAGCTTCCAAGGAGAGGTTCCTACCAAAGGGGCTTTTGCAAATTTAAGTGCTCTCAATATTTCCGGGAACAATCAACTTTGTGGAGGAGTTCCTAACCTTCATTATTTTCCAAGGTGTTTGCCCAAATCTACTTCGGATAATAGAGGATCTAAATATAAGGTGTTTGTCGAGATTGTGACCATTTCAATAGCTTCATTGGTTTTAAGTGTGTCCATATTATCATTAGTGTACTTCCTACTTTGTTCAAGGAGAAAACAAAACAAATTGTCATATGGATCGGGTATGAGCTTGACAGAGCCCTTCTCCAAAGTATCTTATGATATGCTTCTCAAAGCAACTGATAGCTTTTCGGAAGCAAACTTACTTAGTGCGGGTCATTTTGGGTCTGTTTACAAAACGGTCCTTGATCTAGAGAGTAACATGGTTGTAGCTATTAAAGTTATTAGACTTGTGCAGAGAGGAGCTTCCAAAAGTTTCATGGCCGAGTGTGAAGCATTAAGAAGTCTCCGTCATAGGAACCTTCTTAAGATTGTCACTGTTTGCTCGAGTACTGACTTTCAAGGCAATGATTTCAAGGCTTTGGTGTACGAGTATATGACTAATGGAAGTTTTCATCATTGGATTCACACAGATCCAAATTTGAGAACCTTAAGTCTACTTCAAAGGGTAGAGATTGCAATTGATGTGGCGAGGGCACTAGATTATCTGCACAATGATTGTGACGAACCTATCATTCATTGCGACCTAAAACCAAGCAACATTCTCCTCGACGATGACATGGTTGCTCATGTTGGGGACTTTGGGTTAGCAAGATTCCATTTACGTGCACGCGCAAATGATAGCAGCTCCGTTGCTGTCAAGGGAACAGTTGGGTATGCCGCTCCAGGTAAGAACAAAATAATATGGGTTAACACTATACTAATATGTTCAATCTTTTTATCTTTTTATTTTTATTTTTTTAATAAATGTATATATCTTTTCTCTACTTTAATAATAAGCTCTGTTTTTTGACAGAGTATGGTGTGGGAAGCATGGTTTCTAAAGGAAGGTGATGTTTACATCTACGACATTGTGCTGTTAGAGTTGATGACTTCCAAAAATCCCACTGATAGGATGTTTGAAGGAGCTTTAGACCTACGTAATTATGCTAAATCGGCAACAATGCCTAATCAATTGATAAACATCATTGACCCAAGGCTTTTAGACAATGAAGTTGGTAATTTAAGTGAAGGAAATGAAGGGGAAGTTTTAGCAGAAAATGAAAGAAAAATGAAGTGCATAAGGTATGTCATTGAATCGGAGTGAAATGTTCCGTAGAGTCACGACAAGATCGAATGAGGATTAATGATGCGATTGAAGAGTTACAAGTAACAAGGAATGTTCTCCTTAAAGAACTACATATCATCCGTGCAATGCACATTACGAGGTGCATAAAAATATACAATTTACATTAGATTTAATTCTGTGGTATCATTATATTCCCTTACTAATTTTTCTAAGCTCTTTCAGGGATCTTGCTGGTTAAATAAGCACCGTATTATATGACTAATCCAAGACATACACAGAAAATTGATTCAGAGTAAGTTTTTTGTTTTTACTGTCAATCTATTATTACTACGTACAATATATCAAAGGCTAAGAGTATTATATTAAACATCATGATGTAACTAATACAGAGTATATATATTATTTTCTGATTATGAAAAAAAAAACTTTAATAAATTAAGTGATCTTCCAGGTCTAGCGATATCAAGCACGTCCAATATCCCGCCTAAGTTAATCAAAGCAACTCAAAGAGAAGTTTAGTTATCGGCTTATCACTACTATTCTATCCAATCAGTAGAACAAGATCATGTATTCATAATAAAGGTTGTTCATAGTTGCTATTTTTCGGTTTCTGTAGTGTATAAAATCTGTACATTGTACTAAATGCATACAATGGAGAAAGATTTAAAGAGTAATTAATTCAAAGTATTTAATTATTTTAGCATGCACACGTTTTTTCCTGTTTAGTATTAAAAGCAAAAGATTTATAAGGTCAAAAAAATTATATACATCTATTGGATGTGTAGCGTTTCAAAATTGATATGCCCAAGCAATTTTCATTAACTCGTTTTACAAGATTTGATACTTAAAAGTTGGTAAGCTCATGTATGATTAAAGGACTGATAAAGTAGCTAGAGTTAAAATTATTTAACATTGAATTTTAAATAGTGCTCTGGTTTGCTTGTCTTAGTTTGATTTTATATCTTACTCAAAGTTCACTGAACTCGGGTGTATTTAATTTGTGGAGTTATTATTATAATGCTTGATGCTAAATTTGAGATAAAATAGAAGTGAATGACTTAGCTTTCATTGATGGCTTCAACCTCAATATATAAAATACAAGTTAACCCTAACATGATAGGATTAGGAAACTAGGAAAATAAGGAAAAGATATCAAGCAGATATTCACTAGCCTCAAGAGATACTATTGAAATATTTCCTAAAATATATTCTAATATATTCTCAATACCCCCCCCCTCAAGTTGGAGCATGGGGATCGAAAATGCCCACTTGGAAATAAGATGATCAAACTGAGACTTCCCAAGCGCCTAAGTGAAAATATCTGCAAGTTGCTCCTTAGTGGAAACATAGGAAGGAGCAATTAAACCCTCTATAATAGCATCACGAACAATGTGACAATCAATCTCAATGTGCTTTGTTCGTTCATGAAAAACTGGATTACGAGCTATATGTAAAGCAGATTGATTATCACAAAACAATTTGATCGCCTTAGGGTGTTGAACACCCAAACTCAAAAGCAAAGCCTTCAACCATTTCAACTCATGTGTGGTGGAAGCCATGCAACGATACTCAGCCATGGAAGAAGAAAAAGAGACCATGGGTTGCTTCTTGGTCTTCCACGAAATAGGAGATTTACTAAGAAAAATTAGCCAACCAGTCAACGAACGACGAGTAAGAGGACACGCCGCCCAATCTGATTCACACCAACCCTGCAAAATCAGGTCACTATCTGCACTTGACAAAATACCCTGCCCCGGTGTACCCTTCAAATAACGAACTACCCTCAGAGCCGCCTCCCAGTGCTCAGTGCGAGGTTCTTACATATATTGCGAGAGAATATGAACAGAATATGCCAAATCTGGTCTAGTAACCAATAGATAAATTAACCGTCCTACCAGTCTGCGATAAGACTCGGGATTAGCAAGTAACTCACCACTAGCAAGGCTAAGCTTATGATTTTGCTCAATCGGAAAGCCGCTTGGCTTTACCCCTAACAACCCTGCTTCTGAAATAATATCCAACGTATATTTGCGTTGGCACAAAAACAATCCAGATTTACTACGAGCTACCTCAATGCCCAAAAAGTACTTCAAAGGACCAAGATCCTTCATCTTGAAACAATCACCAAGATAAGCCTTGAACATAGTTAATGCAGCGGAATCATTCCCAAAAATAATAAGATCATCAACATAAACTAAGACATTAATCTGAACATTGCCTTTAGTGTATGTGAAAAGAGAATAATCAGAGTAATATTGACTAAAACCGTACCCTTTCAGAGCCGTAGTGAGTTTTGCAAACCAACACCTAGGAGCCTGTTACCACCCATACAAAGACTTTCTCAAATGATACACCAAATTCGGATCCGAGCTCTCAAAACCTGGGGGTAATTTCATGTACACCTCCTCTTCTAGATCACCATGTAGAAAAGCATTATGAACATCCATCTAATGAAGATCCCAATTTTTAGAAGTGGCTATAGCAAGAAAAGCCCGAACTGTAGTCATTTTTGCAACTGGAGCGAAAGTCTCACTATAATCTATACCTTCCTTCTAATGATTACCAAAAACAACCAAGCGAGACTTGAGACGTTCAACATCACCATTAGACAAAAATTTCGTCTTGTACGCCCATTGACTGCCTAGAGCCTTCTTACCGGGAGGAAGATACTCTAAAGTTCAAGTACCATTGTCTTGTAATGCCCTTTTTCTTCTTTCATAGAACATTTCCAACCTTCAGATTTCATGGCTTCTTTAAAGGATTTTGGATCCTTTCCCAAAACTACGGCTGCAAGAAATTTGCGATAATTCACAGAAAACATATCACAATTTATTTAATGTGCCAAGGGATACGGAGTACTTGGAGTTTGATTGGAAGTAGAAGACGTACTCTTAGCAACAATCGTGTGTGTAATAAAATCACGGAGCAAAACCGAGGGATATTTATCCCGAAAACCATGGCCCAACTCACGAGAGGCCTGCTGAGTTGTAGGATCTGCCAAGGGGGAGGACTGCTCGGACTCACTGTGCTGGTCTGTGGCAGTTTCTGTACTTAAAGAGGGCTGCTCGGACTGGGCAGTTTCAGCCTCAGGTGGCTGCTGCTCCACGTGTTGCTAGGGATGGCAACGGGTCGGATCTGGACCGGGTTCGGATGGACCCGAATCCAGATATGTTTTTGTATGTAGGATCCAGATTCGACCCGGATCCGTCGGGTCTAGAAAATGAAGACCCGGATCCGGATCCGTCGGGTCCAACGGATCCGGGTCCAAAACGGGTCCAATATATTTTGCCTAATTTTTTGCAAAAAATGTAATTTTCGGGTCAACAAATTTATTTCAAACTTACGTTGTTGGTTATTAAGTTCAACCCCAAATTAACCAACTTATACACTCATATTTTGAATTAAAATTAAAAACAAAAAAAAAATACGATGTTACATATGAGGTAGTGAAAAAACAACGATGACGTATATAATATGAGCATCCAAAATTCATATCTTGAAAGGGTTAATCTTTATCATTACTAACATTATCAACATTTTTAATAAAGAAACAAATAATTTTAGTTTTTCTTTAATAGGAAAAATAAAAAAACGGGTCCACAGATCTGGATCCGGGTCTAGGGCCCAGACCCAGATCCAGATCCGTTTTTGTCAGCAGGATCCAGATCCGACCCGGATCCATCGGGTCCAAAATTTGAAGACCTAGATCCGTGAAAAACGGATCTGGATCCACGGATCCAGGTCGGGTCCAGATCCATTGCCATCCCTACGTGTTGCTGCTGCTTCTCTACGTGTTGTTGCTGCTATTCTTTATCGTGTTGCTGCTGCTCTTGATGTTATGGAGCAGAGGCGGTAGCAGGGGACTCCGCACCCCCCTTGCGGGCTGCAGCATTATACCGCGGGTGGGGTGCGGAGGAAGCTGTATCCTCTTTTTCTTGATGTATAAATACACCTTGGTCAACAATATTATTATATGCGTCTTGTACAGCTATAGCATTGTCATCATAGCTCAAATTATGATCATCAAAATCCACATGAATCTCATCCTCCGTATTACCAAAATTGACATCAATATTTACATCATCCGGACTTCCAAAAGGGAACATATCTTCGACAAATTTCACATCACGAGAGACAAAAAACTCCTTTGTTTCAAAATCAAATAGCTTCCATCCCTTTTTCCCGAATGGATAACCCACAAAAACACATTTACGACTCCTACTAGCAAATTTATCCCCCCTCGTCTTTTGATTGTGTGCAAAACAGAGACAACCAAAAGTACGAATAGCACCAAAAGAAGGAGGTTTATTGAAAAGAATTTCGAAAGGAGATATATTTTGTAAAATAGGAGTAGGAGTACGATTAATCAAATGAGCCGCGGCTAAAACACACTCACCCAAAAAATAAATAGGAAGATTGGCTTGGAATCTCAAGGCCCTACTAACATTAAGAGTGTGTTTGTGTTTTCTCTCTACCCTCCCGTTTTGTTGAGGCTGAAGTCCCAACAAAAGAGGTTTGAAAAATAATACCATTTGCAACAAAATAATCGTTCAAACAATTAAATTCAGTCCTATTATCACTCTGAACAATTTTAATCGTTTGATTAAATTGTCTATCAACCATAGCAACAAAAGTCATAAACATCCGAAAAACCTCAGTTTTATCAAGAAGCAAATAGATCCAAACCGCACGGAAATTATCATCAACAATAGTCAAGAAATAACGAGCCCCACACGAGGAAACATGACGATACAGACCCCATAAATCACAATGTATTTTTTCAAAAATTCTAGAAGCTTTATTGTCACTCAAAGGAAATTTGTCTCTAGAATGTTGAGCACAAAAACATACTTCACAACCTTTTGATAAACTAGTGTTATTATTTCTAATATGAGGAAGCAACTTAACTACCTTCTCAGAAGGGTGACCCATTCTTCTATGCCAAAGATCCAACTCAGAAGTCGCTCCAACCACCTACACACGTTGCACAACATCCGGCTTGCTAAAATAATAGAGTCCGTCTTGCCTAAGACCTGTGCCAATCAACTTCTTCATTGGGTCCTGTATAGTACACATATGCGAGTTAAACTGTACAACAACTTTTAATTGATCAGTAAGTTGAGAGACTGAAATTAAATTGCAATTCAAATTCGGGACAAAGAGAACTCCAAAGATAGTGATTTTATCAGACAAACAAACATATCCGGCTAAAGTTGCAAGTACACTGTCACCATTGGGCCAAACCAACAGGACATTCAATGTTGTAAGAGTCAAATAGCCAAGATTTATTTCCGGTGACATGATGAGTTGCCCCGGTATCAATAATCCAACAAGTGTTGTTAAAGTTACCATTGAGACAGATTTCTGCGATTTTTGTATTACCCAAAAAACCGGCCATGGTCGAGAGAAAAAAAAAATAATCTGCTCTTGATACCATGCTAAATTTGAGAGAAAATAGAAGTGAATGACTTAGCTTTCATTGATGGCTTCAACCTCAATATATAAAATACAAGTTAACCCTAATATGATAGGATTAGGAAACTAGGGAAATAAGGAAAAGATAACAAAAAGATATTCACTAGCCTCAAGAGATACTAATGAAATATTTCCTAAAATATATCCTAATATATTCTCAATACTTGAGTTGATGATCGATTAAGCAATGAATGTAAGGTGGCGTTTGGTATAGTAATTTTAGATGTTGGAAACAGATTAATTAAGTGTTTTTATTTTTAGTTGTTTGGTATGGGTTAAAAGTAACAAATACCGTTTTCAGAGAGTAACAAAATCCCCCAATTTGTTACTCTTGACAAACTTTTTTCCCTACTTATTTGAATCCTTTCCGTTTTATTTACGAGGTTTATACCAAACACCTCCTAAAAGTTTATGATCTTGCTTTTCTTGTCTTCCTATTTTTTCATTTTCGATAAAAAAAGTTTTAGGTTTAATTTGAGTGAACTTATTTTTATTTCTATAAAAAAAAATTATAAAAAAAATGAAAAAAAGAGAGCTTATTTTTATTGAATTAGAAAAACATAGATAAAACTGATGATTCTACTGTAATCTTATGACTTTTGACTACAATTTTTTTTAATGGACGGCTAAGATTTTATTTTTTTTGATTTTTTTTAATTAAAAAGATTTTTTTAATTATTTTAAATATATTTTTATCTTCCAAATATTATTTTTTATATTTTTGAAATATTGAAAATAAAAAATATATTTATATTAATTAAAAAATAAGTTTTTTTAATTTAAAATAAATCGAAAAACAAATAATCTCAGCTGTCCATTTTTAAAAATTGTGGTAGTCAAAAGTAGACTACATAGTCTACATTAGAATTGATAAATAAATAAATAAATTTAATTTCCTATTTACCTAGTAGTTTCATTGAATAATACAGGAGCAGGAATGCATGCAGCCATGCATACCGTGTTCAACGGAGTAGAAGACTTGGAAGTATATAGTTATATAGGACGTTGACTCGTTTTTTCTTTGTCTGCTGACCCCGGTAAATGAGTTGATGAATTTCTGTCAATAATAATGCTGATCTTTGTGTTTACCTCCTTAGCTAAGGTGGATTTTTCTCACCCACTAGTTTTCTTCCAATTAAACTACTTGTATTTCTTCCATTTTATATACAAAGATAGTAAGATACTACATCACGTTAATACAATCCTTAACATATGTAGTTAAATTGGGCAAAAAGATTTTTTGTAGACGGATGAAATTAATATTATGGAATTTTTTTTTTCAAGACAAAGTAAAGCATTCATATAATTGACACATACATCTATATAATTTAAGAAAAGTAAAGATGTAGTATGTATTCTAGGATTCCAAAACCCAAATCATAACATCTCTATGATTCTCCAAAATGAAAACTACAACTATAGTTATGAAAATACAAATCGTACATAATCAACATTTATTAGAAAGATGGGAAATTTTAGAAATGCAATATCACTAAATTTCTGTTCTACTTGCCTTAATTTACTACTAAAAAAATATTTTTATTAAAATCAAATAACTTTTTACTTAATTTAAATAATTTTATTACAATTAAAATTACTTTTACTGAATATAAAAAATTGATAGTTTTTTGGTGTTTAAAGAGCCACAAGGGCGGTTGACGAGACCGGGAGGAAAAGTCTGACCACTTGATCTATCCCTGACTTTCATAAAAAGTTGATAGTCAATGTTATATACTTCGTATATTGACATCAAATCGTAAAATGACGATACAAATTATTATGATGTCAAAAAAAATATACAAATTATTAATTAGTAGGTGTAGTGGAGTACTACTTAGGAGATTGTAATATGCTTTAAAAAAAATACAAATAAAAGAGTTACGCATCATCAATAGATACATGTATTGAATATTGTCAGATGCTATATTTATAGACGGTTAAGAAGCATGCTATTAAGTTTCAAAGTATTCCTTGTGTCTTGATAACAACTTTTTTTTTTTTTAATTTTTAAGTTAGATATAGTTAGTGTATGGGCTAAAAAGGATGGAGTTAATAAGTAATTTAAATGAACAATAAAGTGAGACTATATTGTATGAACAAAAGCCAAGCTTCTACAAAAGCATCATAATCTTGACCAATAATCACGGGTCTTCATTGGTCCATAAGATGGGGTACTTAGTTACCCTCTTCGAAGGTAATCTCTTGAGTCTTGACTATGATAGACCACGCATTTGAACATTCTATATTTGTATTCTTTACCGCGTCTTGGTACTACAACTTATGTGCTTATATAAGTGCACATTGATACGCATACTACGCTACCAAGCCTATTCTACTTCTTGAAATAATTCATATCTATCAAACTTAGTTATGAATCTCATTTTTGCCTCTCTAGTCATTTTGTTTATCCATTTCTCAAACCTGTTTTACACCGTCTTGCCTACAAATGATGTAGACCGTGTTGCCCTCTTAGCAATTAAGTCCGAATTAAATTAGTGAGGACCCTCGAGGGGTTTTGAGCTCTTGGAATAACTCCCTCCATCACTGTCAATGGTCGGGTGTTACTTGTGGTGTTAAGCATCCACATCGAGTTGTTAAATTAGATCTTCAAAACAACGGTTTGATGGGAACTTTATCACCTTATGTAGGCAACTTGAGTTTCCTTCATTATCTCTTGTTGTCCAATAATACTTTTAGAGGCTACATTCCACCTCAAATTGGCCATCTACTTAGATTAAGGTCTCTATCATTAGAAGTAAACTCCTTTGAAGGTGAAATCCCGGGCAACATATCTCGTGATATTGCCAATAACTATTTGGGAACAAGAGAAGCTGATGACTTAAGTTTTTTACAAACGCTTGCTAATTGTAGCCAATTGCAATTTCTAGGATGTTCCGCTAACAACTTTGGAGGAGTCCTATCTCATTATCTTGGCAACTTGTCAAGTAGTCTAACTGAAGTATATTTTGGTGAAAATCAAATTATAGGAAGTATTCCAACGGGGTTATTTAACCTCATTAACTTGAAGCGACTAGATTTAGAACACAATCATTTGTCCGGAAACCTTCCACCACAAATCGGAAAGCTAAGAAATTTAGAAGCCTTTTATTGTGATAACAATCATCTTATTGGCAAGATTCCATTTTCATTGGGAAATTTGTCATGGTTGAATCAGCTCTATTTGGACCAGAATAGCTTCGAAGGGATAATACCCTCGAGTCTAGGAGAGTGAGGGAATTTATTGTATCTATCACTTTGACAAAACAACCTCAGTGGATTTGTTCCTCCTCAACTATTCTACGCGACTTCAACGTTAGTTGAGCTACTTTTAGATCACAACAATCTACAAGGAATTATCCCTATGGAGATTGAATAACTGAAGAATTTAGTTTGGCTGGATTTGTCAGAAAATGGATTTTATGGGGAGCTTCCTATAGGCTTGAGTAGTTGCATTGGCCTTATTGAGCTAGACATGGGAGGAAACTTTTTTAGCGGATCTATCCCCAAATCTTTTAAGTATTTAGCTAGTATGAGTGCTTTGAATCTCTCTCATAATAAATTGTCTGGTCCAATTCCAAGTTTCTTTGCAAATTTCTCCTTGGAGGAACTGGATTTATCTTTCAATAATTTTGAGGGAAAGATCCCTAAAGAAGGGGTTTTTGCAAATATTAATACATTCTCAATTCTTGGGAATAACAAGCTTTGTGGAGGGATTCCAGAGCTTCACTTGCAAACATGCCCTATCTATGCTACACCGAAAAGAAAGAAGGGTAAATTGTCAATATATGTGATTGAGATCATTGCGGTAGCTTCTTTGGTTGTGGGTGTGTCCATATTGTCATTAGGGTACTTCCTACTTGGCTTAAGGTGGAAACAAAATAAAACATCTGGAGGATCAGAGTTGAACTTGGTAGAGCACTTCTCAAAAGTAACGTATGACATGCTGCTCAAAGCAACAAATAGATTTTCGGAAGCAAATTTACTTGGTGTAGGTCGTTTTGGGTCTGTTTATAAAGGGGTCCTTGATCGAGAGAGTAACATGGTTGTGGCTGTTAAAGTTATCAGCCTTGAACAGAGAGGAGCTACCAAAAGTTTCATGGCCGAGTGTGCAGCATTAAGAAGTATCCGTCATAGGAACCTTCTCAAGATTGTTACGGTTTGCTCGAGTAATGATTTCAAGGCTTTGGTGTACGTCTTCATGAAAAATGGAAGTCTTCATCAATGGATTCACACAGATCCAAATTTGAGAACCTTAAGTCTACTTCAAAGGGTAAAGATAGCAATTGATGTGGCGAGTGCACTAGATTATCTGCACAATGCTTGTGACGAACCTATCATTCATTGCGACCTAAAACCAAGTAACATTCTTCTCGACGATGACATGGTTGCTCATGTTGGGGACTTTGGGTTGGCAAGGTTTCATTTACGTGCAAGTGCAAATAACAGTAGCTCTGTTGCTATCAAAGGAACAGTTGGGTATGCCGCTCCAGGTAAGAACAAAACAATGACACAATTCCAATATGTTCAATCTTCATTTTGTCTTTAATTTTTTTAACAAGTGTATATTTTCTGTGCTTTGATGATAATTTTCTAACAGAGTATGGTGTGGGAAGCATGGTTTCTAAGGAAGGTGATGTATACAGTTACGGCATTGTGTTGTTAGAGTTGATGACTTCAATAAATCCCACTGATTGGATGTTCGAAGGAGGCTTAGACCTGCATAATCATGCTAAATCAGCAACATTATTGCCTAATCAATTGATTAACATCATTGACCCAAGGCTCTTAGATAATGACGTTGGTAATGCTAGTGAAAGAAATGATGGCGAACTTTTGGCAGAAAATGAAAGGAAAATTTTTTTCCGGCGTTGACCAAGTCATGTGCCGGTCACGTGACATTTAATTCATCTTAGGTATTATATGGATAGGCTCGGGGAAAATTAGGGAAAAAAATGGGGAAAGATGACTTGAACGAAACCCAGTATTGCCATGTTTGTACATCAAATAAAAAGTTCAGAGCTATCTTGAACAAAACCCATTTGGAAGGGCATTTCTTGACATTGTTCATAGAAAACAAGTTATACAACAAATTAGCTAGACTTTTTTTTTTTAGGGGACAAATTAGCTAATTTATGAATGTAGTTGGACTCCATCTATTCTATCATCTTACTACTCCGATCCGTACTGCATTCAATTTTCTAATTGAAAGCAACCAAATTAAATTGGTTAGACCTGGCATATATATATGAATAACGGTCAATTCATTATTCTAGCATCTTGCTAGTTGCTACTACATTCAATTCAATTCAATTTTCTAACTAAAAAGCAACAAATTGATTTGACCTGGCATTTGAATCTCTTCTACTCAAGCATATTGCCACTACTAGTAATAAATTCCTATATATAGGCAGCATGTTAATAAACATAACATACTTCACAAATAACAAAAATAGCATTCAAACACTTGTTTATGTACAAAACGCAATGAATCCTACTAGTAAACTTACCTTGGTATTCATTTTGCTTATTCATATCTTAAGCCTATTCAACTCCGTCTTTCCCTATACCATAGACCATGTAGCCCTCTTAGCGATTAAGTCTCAAATCATTCTTGACCCTCGCGGAGTCTTAAACACTTGGAACAACTCCCTTCCATATTGCGAGTGGGAAGGTGTCACTTGTAGCACCAAGCATCCACATCGAGTTGTCGGTTTAAACCTTCAAAACAATAATTTGGTGGGAACTCTATCACCTTATGTAGGCAACTTAAGTTTCCTTCATGTACTAAATTTATACAACAATAGCTTTCGAGGCCACATACCACCTCAAATTGGAAATCTATTAAGGTTAAGGTCCCTAGAGTTAGTTAGAAACACCTTTGAAGGCGAAATTCCAGCCAACATATCTCGTTGCTTAAACCTCGAACAACTTCAATTATCAGGCAACAATCTTGGTGGATTCATTCCATCTCAACTTAGTATCCTTACTAAGCTACTAGTTTTGTCACTTTCGTATAATCAACTTAAGGGTGACATCCTTAACAAGGTCGTCATGAACATGACTTCCTTGCAAATATTGTTGGCTTCGAATAATTCCTTTCATGGAAGCATTCCGGAAAACATTGGAGTAGCACTCCAAAATTTGGTTTACATCTATATGTCTGGAAATAAGATCTCAGGTATTATTCCTCCTTCCTTTTACAACCTTTCTCGTCTTCAAGAGGTTAGTTTAGAAAAAAAATCATCTCCATGGTACACTTCCCTTAGATATTGGGTTCCGCCTTCCTCAACTCACCGCGTTTTTCATAGGTAAAAATTCCTTCCATGGAAACCTACCACCCTCCCTCTCAAATCTTACTCAGCTTGAGAAATTAGGTCTTTATTCAAACAAATTCACAGGAAAATTCATTTTTAGTGCTAGAAATATGCCTAATTTGTTATACGTCGAGATCAACTCTAACTACTTGGGTACTAGAGAAGCAGATGATTTAGCCTTTCTACAAACTTTTGCAAATTGTAGTAATTTATACCGTTTGGAAGCTTCTTTTAATAACTTTGGAGGGATTTTACCTGCTTCTTTAGGTAACTTCTCAGAACTAACTGTATTTAATTTTCCATATAATAAAATTTTAGGTAATATTCCATTATCTCTTTATAACCTAACTAATTTAAGAGTACTAGGCTTGCAAGGTAATCAATTCACTGGAAATCTTTCACCTCAGATTCAAAAGCTAACTAAGTTAGAATTATTCGATTATAATGATAACTACCTTTCTGGAAATCTTCCTAATTCATGGGAAAATCTCTCACATTTGAGTGAGGTCAATCTAGCTAACAATAGATTTGAAGGAACAATACCCTCGAGTCTAGGTAGTTGTACTAATCTATTGTATTTGACACTTTCAAATAATAGATTAAGTGGAACTCTACCTCCTCAATTATTTCATCTGTCATCGATGTTGGTTGAACTACGGTTGTCCTACAACCAATTACAAGGAGTTATCCCGGTCGAAATTGAGCAACTGAGAAATTTAGTCCTGTTGGATATATCAGGAAATGCATTTTCAGGAAAGTTTCCTACCACCCTTGGTAGTTGTAATGAGCTTATTGAGCTAGATATAGGAGGAAACTTATTCACCAGGTTTATCCCTCCTTCTTTTAAGTCATTAACTAGTTTGCGTTTTTTGAATCTTTCTCATAATAAGTTGTCTGGTCCAATTCCAAATTTCTTCGAAAATTTTTCACTTATAGGACTAGATCTATCTTATAATGATTTTAAGGGAGAGGTTCCTAGAAAAGGTGTTTTTGCAAATTTAAGCGCCTTGAAAATTCTTGGAAATAACAAGATTTGTGGAGGGATTTCACAGCTTCAATTGCCAACATGTCCACCTAATAATGTTTCGAGAGGAAAGGGGATTAAATTGTCTGTTGCCGTGATTGCGATCATTGCAGTAGCTTCTTTGGTTGCGAGTGTGTCCATAGTGTCATTAGTATACTTTCTACTTTGTTCAAGGAGGAAACGAAACAAACCATCTCAAGGATCCGAGTTTAATTTGATAGAGCCCTTCTCAATATCTTATGACAAGCTTCTCAAAGCTACAGATAGATTTTCGGAAGCAAATGTACTTGGTAAAGGTCATTTCGGGTCTGTTTACAAAGGAGTCATTGATCATGAGAGCAATAATATGGTTGTTGCTGTTAAAATTATCAACCTTGAACAGAGAGGAGCAGCTAAAAGTTTTATGGCCGAGTGTGAAACGTTAAGAAGTATCCGTCATAGGAACCTTCTTAAGATTGTCACGGTTTGCTCAAGTACTGACTTTCAAGGCAATGATTTCAAGGCTCTAGTGTACGAGTTCATGACCAATGAAAGTCTTCATCAATGGATTCACACAGATCCATATTTTAGAAGACTAAGCCTTCTTCAAAGAGTAGCGATTGCAATTGATGTGGCGAGTGCACTGGACTGTCTGCACAATGGTTGCGACACTCCTATCATTCATTGCGACCTAAAACCAAGCAATATTCTCCTCGATGATTCCATGGTTGCTCATGTTGGGGACTTTGGGTTAGCAAGATTTCATTTGCGTGCAACTGCAAATAACAGTAGCTCAATAGCAGTCAAAGGCATAGTTGGATATGCACCTCCAGGTCACTGTTGGAAAAATACCTATTGATTCCATGAAAGTTAATAGACAAATCAAGAACTTTCCTTGGAGCAAATTTGACCGCCATACTCAAATCATAAACCTGTTCTCCTTCAGTTGTGCCGTGGTTTGGAACCCACTGACTTTAGAAGCGAAATACGCCATCACCGGTATAAGTATCCTAGTGACGCACGCCCCCCAAGTTTTACACAACGACCTCCATAATTCGTGTACCCGAATTTGAAGGTTGGAATTGCTCAAGAACTGTTCAGATATCAAAGGGGTAGGCTTGTGTTTATGTGTTTAGGGTTCAATAATACTGTGTTATTAATTATTAAAAGAAGTATGACAATACTCGTATTTTATATGTATCCGAAAAATAGGAGACAAATAAACAAACCCACTCAAGCAAATTAGGTGGGCCCAGTCAGGCAATGGCCCACCCGGTCGGGCACGAGTATTCCTAGGAACGTTTAATCCCCCACGAGTGCGGATCGTCAGGCCTTGCAATTAACCGATTGCATTACATTTCAACAATCCCCCACTAATGCAAGCGGATTAACAACATGAAATCTGAACAGTAAATGAAAGTCTCAGTACTTAAATGCTAGTGTAGACACCCATTTGTGTCTCCTCAAAACCAATCCCAGTGATGAGAGCCTTTCGCGTCGAATCATAATCGAATGAAACAAAAGTGTGGAAAAGTCTAGTGTTGCGGAAAGTTTTATTTCTTTTCTCTTCTCCCTGTTTTTGAAAATTTTATTTTAAGAAAACAGCCAATCCAGTTTGGTTGGTCCATGATATGGGTCCAATAGTGGTGTAGTTGGATGGGGCTTGCAAAGACCTTTCCAAAGATATATTATAATCCCGATTCCGATGAATATTGAGGAAGTTAAGGCCAATTTACTAAACTAGGCCCGGTTTAAGCTTTATGTACGGCCTAATGATCTAGGGGAGGGCCTAATATAATTTATCATTCCTAATGCAATTAGGAATGGTTTTAGTCTTCTAGAATATTCTAGAAGGTTCTTTTCATTCCTAATTCAATTAGGACTCTTCAGAGTTTTAATCAAGATTAAATAGCATTTTCGATGGAAATTATATTATTTTATCTTCCAGTACGCGAAATTTATCAGATTTTCGAAAACGCGTTGAAAACCAGTTTGGCGTCCAACCCCAGGCCTTGGCGCCTGGAACCAGGATTGGCTCCAGGCGCTAGCCATTGGCGCCTGGCGCTAGCCACTGGTCCTGGCGCCAATTAGCCAGGGCTGGCGCCAATGTGTTTTTGCGATCTTCAGACTCTGTTTTGTTAAATTATCTTTTTTGGATGATTTTCTCTATAAATATCGTATCAAAAACTCCGTTTTCAATCATGATCTACATCTATCATTCACCAATTCTCTTTATTCTTAAGTCTTCATCAACTCTCAATCATTCATCAAATTCTTTGAATTCATTCATCTCATTCATCAAACTTCAATATTTTAATTCTCTAGTATTCTTTTCTAAACTTTGCTCAAATACAAAATTCCGCATTCACAAGATCTTGATACACCTAGCCATATTCGAAGTTGCCTTCGCCCTAGAAGTGAAAGGTTTTAATTTCTGAGGGTTTGGTCCCAAATCTCTATTTCAATTATTTAATTTAATTGTTTTGATTATTATTTTTCCTTGAAGTTACTAACGTGTGTATTTTGTTATTAGAAAGAGGTACGAGGCATCCAAGTAAGTACTTTAATGGTTTAATTGATATTATGATGTAGAAATCATGTTTACATTGGTGTTATGATATTCCTAGTATCATGTCTAGGGTATTTTTAATATTAAATATGATTGTTATGATGTCTTTTATTCTCTTCCTAATATTTATTCATGTTAGTATCATGTTAGGGCTAAAGATTTGATTTTTAATGCTTAGTGACATGCTAGGGTTTGTTATTAATCTTGTTAGTATCATGCCTATGATCTTGTTATTTTTATTATGCTTTAATATTAACATGAACATGATTATGATTATAATTGTTATAATTTATTATTATTAATGATGTTGATTATTTATTATGTTGCTTGATGCTTATTGTTATTGCTTGATCACCTTTATTGCATGTTAAAGGGAATTTGTACTTGCAATCACGCTTAATAAGATATTTAATAATCTTGTTAGGTTAATTGTGATTATAATTCAAGTGATCGCCAATAATAGATTTATTTGTGCATTAAATTCAACCAACATAGATTAAACAGGTTTAGGGTTAATCCTATTGATTGCATGTTAGTCAAAAAGCGCACATGAATACGAGCAGAATAAAGTAGATGCCTATTATTAGGGCAGGTTCAATCTCTTTTAGGTTGGATTTGTACCTTCATCCCAGAACCCTTATTTGGTTCATGACCTTATGGAGTTGACGATCTCTTGAATCGTTAAGGGGTGTAACCTTCACCTCGTGAACGGTTTACAAGTTCCTTAAAAACTTGTTGGCGACTCTTTTGCTCTATCTTCTTCCCTTTTGGACGCCACCGTACTTTAGTGTATGATCACAGTGGGGTTCAAGCTAGTGGGATTTTAAAGGCTTGAAACTATTCCCTACAGTTTTTGTCGACTCCACTGGGGAGGATTTCTATTTTAATTCCTGATTTTGTTTCGGCAATGATTTAGAATGAGTGGATGAGACTCAAAAAGTTCTAAGTATTTCATGTGCGAAATTTAGATTAACATTATTGTCATATGCATAAAAAGTTTCTCATTGGAAAGATCATCCGTAATGAGTCAAAAACATAGGATTTTACACGTAGGAAATTTGAGGAATGTCTTTCACAACTAGGACTGAAATAACACCGCGCGAAACTGGATGATTTTATTGAGCACAGAAAGCTGCTGAGGCATGTGGGAAGTAGCGTCAGGGGCCAGAGCTTGGCGCCAAATTTTTAGCCGTAGCGCCAGACGCCAGTATTGGTGCCAGGCGCTACAGTTAAAAGTTGGCGCCAGTCTCTGTTTGCTGGCGTCAATTTCCCCCAATACCGACCAGAAATGCGTTCTAATTTCGACCGGTTTTTCGTATTGTTTGCTTGATCCTGCTTCCTGATTGAATTTTTTCTCACTTTTCTGAAACCCATATGTGTTCTACATATGGAAATAACCCTCTGGGAATTCATGCTCTATCTACCCGATTGAACGCTCCTGGCAACAAAGGGTACATCTGAGAGGTTGAATTCACCAAACCATGGAAGTGAGTTTTTTCTAAAAACTCGCGGTGTCCTATCCACCACACGCATTAACCCTTCACGGTTAGGCTTCTACGCGGTGCATCTGGACAATTAACCATGGACCCTGTTTGACTAAACCATATCCCGAACTTTAGAGAACTAGAGCCATGGTTAGGTTGCGAACTCATTGCATCATGTTGTGCCTACTTGACTAATTGTGCATTATTTGTTGTGCATATATATCCTATGCTCCTCTTAACCGTTTTTTGATTTGTGTTGAGACTAAAATTAATGACTTAAAGAACTTTGCCTATTTAATTAATTAATTTGAGTCAATAAAGTTTTTTTTAATCGGAATTGACCTAGTACGACTTTAGGCATACCCTAGTTGACTAATAATACTGAAAACAGTCCCAGACCAAAGCTCCAATATTGGTGCCAAAGTCTGAGCTGTAGCGCCACTGTATGGTGTGTAGCGCCAGACATTTACTAAAACGTCTGGCGCCAATCACTATGTTGTGACGCCAGTCCTGTCGCTAGGCCGACAGTTCGGATTATTGGTCGAGTCATCACCTAGGGTCTAATTAACCAGTTTGATAATTAATTCGGTTAATTTCCGCTGTCAATAACACCTTGTCAAGTCATTAATCGAGTCTTGGTCACATAGTCTAGTCACATGGTCATGACACGAGTCTCAACATGTCACCTACACTCACTAGTCTTAGCACATACTTTGAGCACATGTCACCATGGCCATGTCTTAGGTTCATGCATGAGTCGGTCTTTTCCGTCATTTGAGTTGGGGGGTATATTCTATTCCTAATTTTTCATACACCTCCATCTTTCTTCTTCATATTCTGTTCCAATCTTTCTTCACTTCCTCCATCCATTACATGTTGAATAAAGTTTGAGTCAAGTAATTAACAATAAGTATCCCCAAATTCCTTTTCCACAGTACTTGGTCGAGGAGAGAAAGGCGATTAATCAAGGACAACCTCTTTATTCAAGTCTCGCTTTTTGATAAATCGATTCGTCAAAAGAGGAAGGCTAAAAAGGTAATGGCAACTCAAGAAGAAGTCAATGAGCTTAGGAACCAATTGGTTACCATGACTGAAACACTGAAGCTACTCGCACTCAAGATCGATGATCCCGTAAAGCAACAACGGATGGACCTCATGCAAGAAAGCTTGAGCAAGCTATCTAGTGACTATAAATTTCAGGGCATGAGTTCGCAAGGGGTCTCGCTGGAAAAGGAACTTCTTCCGCATAAGTTCAACGCCACTGACATCCCTAAGTTCAAGACAACAGATAACCCTTACTTCCACTTAAGAGCTTTTGAAACTATAATGAGCATTAAGGGTATCGATAAGAAGATTTTCCCCTCTCTGTTCCCACTATCTCTCGAAACCGTTTGTCAACAATGGTTCTTTTCTCTCGAAAAAAAAAAACCTCTTCTTGGGAGTCGATAACAAACGCTTTCATAGATAGATATAAGTGCAACATCCAAGACGAGACAGACCACAGACAGCTTGAGATGTTAAAACAAAAGGAAAACGAAGGGTTCACTTCTTTCTACAATAAATGGAAGGAAACTTCTGCTAATATGGTCAAGGCTCCTACCAAAAAAGAATCTGTGAGGATGTTTATCAAGAATCTCAAAGGGAAGTATTCAAAGCACTTAAAGTACCAACACAACTTGAATACTTTCAAACCTGTCTATAATATAGGCATTGACATTGAAGATGACCTTCTGAAAGATAATAGTGCGAGAGGAAAGAAGAACGACCATCCTTCTTCTTC